GACCCGAACAAGACAATAGTTTCAAAGAATTAAGATCAATATTATGTAAAAGTCCTATATTACAATACCCAGATTTTAACAAAACATTTACTATTACAACAGATGCATCAGACTATGCAGTTGGTGCCGTTTTAAGTCAAGAAAAAGACGAAATGGATTTACCCATAGCTTATCTCTCTAGAGTTCTCAATGCACCTGAACAAAATTATTCTACAACAGAAAAAGAATGTTTAGCAGTACTTTATGCTGTGAATCATTTCAGACCTTACGTTTATGGTAAAAAGTTTATTTTAGTTAGCGATCACGAACCTCTAAGATGGATTGATTCAATAAAAGATCCAGGACAAAGATTAGTAAGATGGAGATTAAAATTGCGAGACTATGAATACGAATTTAAATATAAACCAGGTAAATTAAACCATAATGCCGATGCTCTATCAAGAAACCCAATTGACAAAACCTTACAAGAGCAAAATTTAAAACAAGCTAGAATTCTTGTACAAACAAGACAAGAAACAAAATCCAAAGCATCAGCAATTCCATCAACAAGTACAGGTCCAACAACAAGACAAACAAAACCCAAAGCATCAGCAATTCCCTCTACAAGCAAAGGAATTACAGGACCACCAACAAGACCAAGAAGAACTCTTGCACCCCCTACAACAATTAAGGGCCCTATAAAACCAAAAATAGCTACTGCAAAAAGTAAGTTAGAAGAAAGTACAATTGGTCAACGCGTTTTAGAACGTAGAAAACTACAACAAAAATCAACACCTAAAAACGTAATAGAATCATCATCCTCTGAATCTGACGAACCATCACAACCCCCAATAAGAAAGAAAAACACAAGTGTATTACCCAGTCTCGTCATTCCAAATCAACCATTATACGATCCATATGCACCAAAAAGTGCTCCACCAGTAATACTTTCAGAAATTAATCAAATCCCTGAAGTAAGCAATGTTGAACAAAATACAATTAAAAATGTAAGTCCACCAGTAAGTGGAAGTGATGATTCCTCATCTGACGAAGAAAATAATCAAGCAAAAACAAGAGAAGAAATAGCTGAAGAGCTAGAAAAATCTATAGCACAATTCAATCAATCGCTACTTCAACACGAAGAATGGTTAAAAGAAGAAGACGAAACAGCTCCAAGAAATTAGCCTAACACATCACTAGGAAACGATGATCCAGAAATACATGAAGCTGCTAATGAATATATACCTGGAAATAATTTAGAGTTTTCAGAAAAGGTAAATGAAATATTAAAGAACGCTCAAAAACAAATTGAAGATAAAAATAAGGAAAGTTTATCAATTACTTCACCACAAACAAAAGAAAATACAGACAAAACAAAAAACGTAACTTTTGAAAATCAAACAAAAAGAGCAACTACACCTATAAATTTTGATAGACCACTTGCTATATCTACACCGTACCCAACGATAAGAGAAGAATCAGAATCAGAATCAACTGAAATAGAAAACGAAGATAATGAATCATCAAAAGATAAAACAACTGAAAATCCAACTAAACTTCAACCTGAAATCCAGACTTCTATTATCACTATTCCTCCTGAACTTCCCAAAAATTTAAATAAGAAAATTGAATTGGAATATTCAAACATTACAAGTAGTAGAGAAAATTTAACCTATTGTAGAAGTAATTATATTCATTTCTTAGCAGCTGACTCTGAATTCACAATGCCAATTGGAAAATTGCTTATCGACATAGGAGCAATAGATCCACAAGAAATAAAGTTAAAAAATCCTCAAAAAGGACAGATTTTAGTTACCCCACGTGGGAAAAACAATATTTATACATTAATTATAAAACATAATCATTTTGATCCTCTTTTAAAACAAGATGTATATTCTGTCATGAAAAATTTAAAATTAACGCTTCAAAAAGACAATGTAAAAGAGATAAGAATTTCCAGAAAAGATGACATAACCGACGAACTAATGAAAGGAGAATTATTACAAATTATTAATGAAGTGTTTCAAAATAGTAGTATAAAAATCATTGTTTGTTATGGTCAAGTCACAATACCTAATGAAGAAACTCGAAAGGAAATAGTTAAAGAATTTCATAATAGTAAAATAGGAGGACATAAAGGAGTAACAAAAACTTATCGTAGAATAAGAGAAAAATTTTATTGGCCGGGAATTAAAGATCAGGTAGTAGAATTCGTTAGAAAATGTCCAACTTGCCAAGAACAGAAACTAGTACGTGTAAAAACTAGGGAACCAATGCTTATAACTGATACGCCTCTCGACGCCTTTGATAAGGTTTCCCTAGATACTGTAGGAAAATTACCTACAACCCCGGATGGAAATTGTCACATTTTAACTATGCAGGATCATTTGTCAAAGTATTGTATTGCCGTACCTATTCCTGACATTTCGACAACTACAATCGCGCATGCAGTAGCTACAGAACTATTCTCTAAATTTGGAGCACCAAAAGTCATCTTAACTGACAAAGGAGGAGGTTTTATCAGCAAACTCATGAGAAAACTATCAAAAATTTTTGGTATACAACAAGTAACAACATCAGGATATAGACCACAAACCAATGGTAGTCTAGAAAGAAGTCATATTGTTCTAGTAGACTTTCTAAAACAATATTCAGAAAGTTATGATGATTGGGATAAATTATTACCTTTTTCAATGTTTGCCTACAATACGTCCGTTCACGAAGCAACTAATTTCACACCTTTCGAGATAATATTTGGTAAAACAGCCAGAACCCCTAGTTCTTTTCCCCCCGAAGAAAAATTAGAAACATATGGTTCTTATTTAGTTGAATTAATAAATAGACTGACAGAAATTAGAAAATTAACTGCAGAAAATCTCATAAAATCAAAAATAAGATCCAAAGAAAATTATGACAAGAAAATTAAACCCTTTTTAGGAAAAATAGGAGACAAAGCCTACGTTTTAAGGGAAGTAAAGAAAAGTAAATTTGATCCTTATTATCATGGGCCCTATGAAATTGTGGATATTTTAAATAAACATACCGCTATTCTCATTAATAATGATGGTCAGAGGTTTCAAAAGCATATAGACAAATTAAAATTAGCTTATGAATAAAATAATAATACTATTTTATGTCTTGTAGATGGCTGAATTGATCCTTCGCACACCTCCACTCCAAGGAGAACTCATCAATATAATTATATTTCCAAAAGGAGATATCAACCAAATAGAATTTCCTAAAGGAATTTTAGAAGAGTTAACTGCTGAATATGACTTAACAAAACCCTTTTATAGTATAGATAATGTATCAGGACCCCCAAATAGCAGACGTTACGACGTAAAATGCGTAGTAAAAGATTTAAACAATGATAATATTTTTGTTGTGACGGTAAAAAATGAACGAAAAATCAAAGATGCAGAACATTCTGCGGCGCGCAAAATATTAAAAATGCTAGAAAAAGTTTATTATTTTAGCGAGCAAGAAAAAGAAAATACTTCAAGAGGTCTGAAATACATAATGTGTCAAGAGGACCCCTCCATTTTAAGAATTAAACTCTATAAATGGAGCAACTGTTGTGAACTCTGTTATTTGAGAGGACATACTAAAATAGGATGCTTTAGGCCCTTAAGAAATAAAAAATTGTTAACCCCCAAAATAAATAACACTAACGATAATTGCTGGGAAATCCCAGGAGTACCTGTACAAAATATTGAAATCACAAATAATGAAGATAACTGGGATCTCCCAGAGTCCACGTTTAATTAATTGTAGATGTTTGGAATAATAATTAAAAATATAAAGATATATAAAAAGAAAATGAAAAATAAAGACGAGAGAAAAGAAGGAAGAGGATTTGGAGGTCGCCTTCTTCTTTCCTCTTTATTTTATAATAAAACACTTAATAATTCATTAAAATTAATAATTATACCAGATAAATATAATTAATTAACAAATAAATAAATAAATAAATAAAAATTATATACATATAAAAGTTTCTAGAAAATTCTAGTAACTCAGAATATAAAATTCTCTAGAAAATTCTAGTAACTTAAAATATAAAATTCTGTACAAAACTCTAATAAAACCACTTAGAAACACCAAATAATTCAAATATATATATTTTTCTTTCAGATGGAAATACCATTCATTGGATATTTTTCGGATGCCATCGATTATATCTCTATCATTTTTAAAATAATTCTATTCTTAATAGTATTAATAGTATTAAAAAATATCTACATTTTTTATAAAGTTATAAAAAATAGGCGACAAAGATCAAACCATCCCTCAAATATCTAAAAACATTGAGGACAATGATAATTTAACAAGGGGAGAATCGACAAAATTCTTGAATAATTTTTCTTAATTATAATAAAAATTTAATCATAATGCTGTTTCGAATTAAAAACACCTGTCTGAATTGTAAGCAAGGAAATAATTCATGAAACATTTCAAAATGACTTAAAACTCATGTTCAAAAAAAAAAAAAAAAAAAAAAAAAAAATTTGCGCAAGTCATATTACACAACTTAACATTTTTCCCGCCAATTTATTTGAAATATTTTAATTTTGAAATGTCTCAAATCTTGCATAGCCAATCAACAAAATTATTATTATATAATTACTACGTTAAAATTGTTATCAAAGTAAAATTAAGCAGTAATAAAAACAACCAAATAAGTATTACAAAGGAAACTAAACTCAAAACCATATATTTAATATTACTATATTATTAATCAAAAAATATTTTATTTATAAAAATCTTACAAAAATTCTTTTACAAAACATTATAACTATATGAATGGATGATATATATATATATAGTAAATACATCATCAATATAATTATTTAATCCTTTGAGACAAAATACTGTACTTAATAATGAATTATAAATTTCAAATAAAACAAAAAAAAATGTATTTTTCAATTGCACAATTCTAATTTAATAACTAAATTCAAAAAAAAAAAAAAAAAAAAAAAAGTGGATGAAAATTAAGTAGTTTAATCACCAAATTACTATTACGCATCTTCAATACAAACAGTTGGAATACCATCTTCAACGTTGCGAACCATAATACGCGGAAATGAAGGATCCACTGTCTCATGACCGCATCTACATCTATAAGGATTGAACTGCATATGGAAATAACGACCGCAAACACAAAATCGATCAGGATTACCTCCAAAACTGAAAACAAACATACAAACAAACATAAGTAAATGAAAAGAAAACAAAAAATATATATATATATATATATATATATAATTACAAAAAAAAAAAAAAAAGGGAAACAGATAAATCAATAAATAATAAACTAAGAAGTTACCTGGAAGGCGATAATGTTGGAAGAGGAGCCGGATGTAAAGTTATTCTGCGCAAGATACGCTGCATCTCCTGTGTTAATAATTGAACGCGTGACATCACTTCAAAAAACTCCTCACGATTTGCCAATCTTTTATTACGTATAAATTGTTCATCTGGACATGGACCATCATGAAGAATTGGAAATCTGCACCTCTCTGTTGATAAAGATGCGTGTAAAATCGGATAACGCACAAACTCCTGGAGATATTGAGCTCGTTGCATCAATCTTCCTAATTCACTTATTAGGCAAAAAAGCTGGTTTAAAGTGCGTACTGTCGGCATTCTCACGCTCCTCCTATATGCATCTAAAGTATAATAAACCCAAATAAATAAACGACAATTTTAATTATAAAATGAAGAAAAATTTAATATACCCGATCAAAATAAACTTATGCAGAATCCTCGTCTTCTAAAGATTGACTCAAAAAGAAAAATTTTACGCTTCAGTTCAATCGAATTAATAGTAACAATAACACTGTTCAAATTATGATCCAATGAAACCACCGAAAATTCAGAAGACGGAACAAATTCTCCTAAAATATCGAAACACAAAAAGGAAAGAGTGTCAATTGCCCGATTAACCGGAACATCCCACAAAACAAATCGAAACAAACCAATGAATTCTTCCAGTTTTACTAATTCTAAATTGAAAAGATATGAATTGGAGAAAAGCAACGCACTATATTCATTTCTCACTGAACAAAGGGTCATCTCACTTTCAAAAATTTTTAAATAATCAAATAAAACCGAATCAAAATTAAAAATGAATTCCCATTGATCTACATTTATTTCCTCTATATCGGCCATTTCAATCAAAAGCTAAATTCAGAATGAGAGAAATTAATGTACTTACCGAAACTATATGGAGCAGGATTCATGATGACTACTCGAAGATGCTGCAATATACTGACCATCCCCAATCAACATGCAGAAGAAACAAACTGTACACCTCATCAAAAGGCATTTTATCTGCTTTTCAGGTCACTAACCTAAGTCAAATTGTCACTAAGACAATAACACATATTTAGGTCGCAGGACTGCTCCATTCTTATCACTAATACTAATGATGCAATCAGATTAGCACGTGTGAAGAAGCAGCCTCATGAGCAACATCAAAACTTCCGTGTCAGCATAATACAAATTATGCAAACAAATAAATAGGTCTTCATAAATAAGTTTATCGAGGACGATAAACAAATTTAAGGAAGGAGGACTGTTACATTCCGTGTAACCAAAAATTTAAAAAAAAAACGTTATTATTATTAGTTATTTTGATGATAAAATTGCTTAATTATATACATACACTTTCAAGTGTGTGTGGATGTGTATATGTGTGCATATATTAAAAATATATGCATATGTGTATACATATCTACACGCTTACATATATAAAAATAATAAATTATTAAGGACTAATAGTATTTTAATTTAAATAAAATCTAAAATTCAAAAAGGTAGATAATAAAGGTATTGACTACTTTGTTACCTTCAAACGAAATAATGAAATACTGCGTTAAAGCAGACATAATAGAAATCTACTTATAATTTAAAATTTAAACTGTATATCAAGATTTATATAAAGAATATTTCGTAATTAAAATTATTATATGTCCATATATCATGAACTCAATTAAAAGGTGTCATGAACTAGAAACCGCAATTAATAAGCTATGATGAATATTTGAAATTATAACAATGTATCTACGATTGAGAAATCGATTTCGCAATCAGTAGAGAAGACATATTATTCATAAATAGAGCACACGTGAATTCTTGCGAATTTTGCAAATTGTTTTTATTATTTGCTCTCATTAAGTCAGTATATAAATCACGAAGAAATCTTAATTATTGTCAAATACTCCGGTGAGTTTCTACCCGAACGGTATCGTAGAGTCGGCCCTTCAATTGTTAAATTCGCGTTAACTTAAAAATAGTGTTACAGAAGTTGGTTTCTTTTATTTATCCATACGGGGGTAAATTAACATTAAAATTAGTTAACCCTATTTATACAATTGTCGTATAAATTTATTACTTTGGTAATTTTATTCTTTTTAATCAAATTTAATTTTTAATAAATTAAATTTATATTTTATTTCCATATAAAAGAGACTAATTTCTTAAAACATTTTAGGTCTTATATATTGTGAAATAATAATCAAAAGAAATTATAAATTAACTGTACGTGATATAAATTCAATAGTCGATTGTTAAAAGTGTACAAGTTAATAAACGAACTGAAAATTGTGTAAAAACTTAAAAATTATCAACCTGGTTGACTTCTGTGCAAAGCAGGTTGCTTTCCAATAATTGTACATTACAACGCTTCAATCATACATTGTAAGTAAATAAATTAAATCAAAGCTTAATATTGAATAAAGAACCATTATTAAAAAGGGAATATGCATTCATTATTTAACGAGAGCCCATAGTTCTCAATAATTGACACTAATCCACACAAAAATAAGCGTCAAGAATTACCAACTTGACTATTCAGCTAATTGTCTCCGTTTATTATTTACTTAATAAAAACTACTTTCACCCTTGCTCGGATCGTAACACCGTTTGCTAATAAAACGCTACTTTGTTTATCATCATTGATTTTATAATTGTTCGTATTAACTATAGATTCACCTACCGAACCTAAACAAGTTCTAGCGGAACCCGTATCAACTAGTGCTTTAATTTCAGAGTTTCCTATATTAATTTTAATGTAAGAACTTGAATGGGTATCATCTCCGCCTAATTTATTATGTGGTTCCGAATCAACCGATTCAAGTTTACAAGTAATAGGTTGATCAGAAAGTTGCTTTAATTTATGATCTATACTGATCGTTTCACTAGTCAGGTGTAACAATTTGTTATCAGAATTATTAACAGCTAGAGTTTCAAAATTCGAAGAAGATTCTACTATCTTTTTTTTCGAGCCTTTTTATTCGCGATTATTTTAAACTTATTCAGCTCATCTATCATTTTATTATTAAGGGCCTTTGAAACTAAATTAGGAGGATCATCGACCCTAAGGTTGATCTCCTTCTTTAGTTTTCCTTACAATACGCCGATTCACAGTCATATTTCGTGGTTTCCTTTTCTCCGCATATGTGGCAGAATTTTTTCCACTTGAGTGGACATTTTCTCCACACATGATCGTCCTTGTCACAATTAAAGCAAGGAGGTTGAGACTTAGGCTCACGAAACTTTTTCTTTGTCTGTGAATCATTTTTATTTGTCGTATTAATCGACTTCGGTTTAGTAGCCGATGACTTATCGCCATTTTCTTTTTTAACTCCCGAATTTTTTGAATTATTCGGGTTCTTTGCTTCTTTGATATTCGCGGGCTTTGAATTTGATTTATCGACTAAAGCGTCGAAAACTTTGGTCATTTTCTCTACTAGAGCTACCGAATCTTTACTATCGGAAACCGACGTTGATTTTAACTTAAATTTTTCCGAATAAGCAGACTCAGGGAAAAACAAATTTTCAGGTGGTAACGGTATTCTTTCGACTTTAAGCGAATCTAACATTCGCTCAACTTCGGAAGCTATCGCAGACAATTCTATCAGGGTCTTAAATTCGCGCCTACTTATTGAACGCTTTATTTCGGGCGAAGATTGAAATATATTCTATCTAATATTTCAATCAAAGAAACAGGCCGAGTGAATTTAGAATAGAGTCCTTGCATACAAATAATATAATTTGTAGTGGACTCATCCGGACCTTGAACACGATTCGAGACTTGTTCTTCAAGTCTCCATTGATAATTTTTTTCCCCGGAATTAGTTCTACACGCGTCTTTAAATTGATCTCATGAAGACCAAATATGTTTATTTAATCTAAACCATTGAAGCGCTATTCCGTCTAACAGTAAAGGTGCAGCGCAAAGAACATCTTCACCAGGAAGTGATGAAATTTCCATAGCATCCTCTACTTGAGATAGGAAGTCCTCAACGCTTGAGGTTTTGTCACCGAAAGATTTTATACCCCATTTACGAACTATTGTATCTGGCTCATTTCATTTAAAATATAAAATCTATGTCCCTTGGCCAAAAAAAAAGTTTTTAGCTAGCAAATGAATATTGTTTGGTTTATTTATTTATTTATTTTTAAAAATATTTTAATTACTATACCTACAATTAAAATTATTGTAATATTAAAATTATTAAAATTATTGTAAAGTAATTTAAAGTATTGTAAAGTTGAAATTTTGAAAACAAATAATGAAAAATATTTAAAAAATTAAAATATTATTTTTAAAAAAAATTTATCAAAAATTTTATTAAATCGAAAAAAATGAATTAAAATTTTTAAAAGCTTACCTTTTTTAAAGCAAGTGCAGGGTTGAAAATTCCAAATAATATTTGTTGGCACGCCACAAGCACTGTCTTTTAACGAGGTGATGATTTTAGTGTCACTTGATTAATGAAGCTCCCTTTAATCAGCCTCCTGTTTATACACGGTGTATTCCACGTCAGTTCAACACAAAAAATTTTATTAGGTTTTGGGATTCGGTTGAAATTGGGTAGATTATATCCTCTGGTGGTAGTAAATAAAATCCCTAAGCGATTTTAAAAAATTTCAAAAATTGGCGGACATATTGGATTTTTAATTTTTTTGTACCTTTTTTTTGAAAAATATATATCTCTGCTTCTTCTTAACGGATTTTAGTTTATGACCTCTTAAATTGTTCGTATTGAAATATACTTTTATTTAAAAAATTAAAATTAAAAAAATTATTTAAATTTTTTGTTTAAAAAATTAATTTAATTTTTTGAAAAGCCATAGAAAAAATATGCTACCTTCAATTTTGATCATTTTTTTACCATTTGTAGCCATAAATGTGTTGAACTTGTCCTGAAATTTTCATCGTGGGACAGCCAGTAGTTTTTGAGAAAAAAAATAAAACGTAAATCCTCGCATAGCGCTGTAGCGCTCAGTTTTAATGCCGCACGATTGTAAATGGAATTTTAATGATAGTACGAGTTTTTATTAACCCTAGAACTAAAATATGATTTTTTTATGGACTAACGAAAAACTGGGGTGGTTTGGTACCCCAGATTTGAAACAATTGTAAAAGGTTACCTTTTTTGTAATTTTTTTAATTTGTCAACAATGTGGCTAATTTGAAAAAATTAAACGGATTTTAAAAGGTAAATAAAGATAAACTGTAAGACCTCGGAAACTCCCCCGTAAAAAATAGAAACCTCCTTTGTAATAAATAATTTTTATTCTATTTTAAAATCATTTAACATTTGTATATATTGTAAATAATATTTAAATTTTCAAGTTGCCTTAAACAAAATAAAATTGTCTCTATTTACCTTTCAAAATCCGTTTAATTTTTTCAAATTAGCCACATTGTTGACAAATTAAAAAAATTACAAAAAAGGTAACCTTTTACAATTGTTTCAAATCTGGGGTACCAAACCACCCCAGTTTTTCGTTAGTCCATAAAAAAAATCATATTTTAGTTCTAGGGTTAATAAAAACTCGTACTTTCATTAAAATTCCATTTACAATCGTGCGGCATTAAAACTGAGCGCTACAGCGCTATGCGAGGATTTACGTTTTATTTTTTTTCTCAAAAACTACTGGCTGTCCCACGATGAAAATTTCAGGACAAGTTCAACACATTTATGGCTACAAATGGTAATAAAATGATCAAAATTGAAGGTAGCATATTTTTTCTATGGCTTTTCAAAAAATTAAATTAATTTTTTAAACAAAAAATTTAAATAATTTTTTTAATTTTAATTTTTTAAATAAAAGTATATTTCAATACGAACAATTTAAGAGGTCATAAACTAAAATCCGTTAAGAAGAAGCAGAGATATATATTTTTCAAAAAAAAGGTACAAAAAAATTAAAAATCCAATATGTCCGCCAATTTTTGAAATTTTTTAAAATCGCTTGGGGATTTTATTTACTACCACCAGAGGATATAATCTACCCAATTTCAACCAAATCCCAAAACCTAATAAAATTTTTTGTGTTGAACTGACGTGGAATACACCACACGCAGTATTGTTTAGAATATATGAGACGAAGATAAAAGTATGGATTGAACGAAGAAGGTAGAGTCTTATAAGGTTCTCACTCTTACGGGGTGAGAGAGATGCTTCTTTCTTTATGATGCAATATTCTATTTTTATTTAATTACAATTATTATTTTTTTCTAATAGTTTTTTAAAGCCCTAGGGTAATGTATCAGTACAATTTAGTAAAAGCATTCTTTTATCATCATTCCAACTTATAACGTTTTTTGCATGTTTTAAAGTATACACTTCATGTTTATT